CCAGAATCTTCTAAAGAGCCAGACCCTACCTAAAGCATGTCAGAGCATGAAGCAAAGGTGCAATGTATGTTGGGAGATGTATGTATGAGTGGGTGGGAGGCTAAGTAGGTGTGTGAATGCATGGATGAATGAGATGTGCAGGTGAGTAGGTGGGTGGGTAAATTGATGTGTGGGTCGGTGAATGGATCAGTGTGGAGGTCGGTGGATGGGTGGAAGACATATGTTTTGAAGGATGATGGGTGGTGGGTGGATGGAGGACCAGTGGGTGGATGGGTGGGTAGGTGGATGCATGTGTAGGTAGGTGGGTAGGTGAGTGAAGGCATGGATAAGTGGGTGGACGTGTGGGTGGTGGGTCAGCGTGGAGGTGGATAGATGAGTAAGTAGGTGGGTAGATAGATAAATGGAGGGAGTGGATGAAGGATTGACGGATGGATAAATTTTTGGATGGGTGAGTGAGTGAGTGAAACGGATGAATCCTCTTTCCACCAAGCCTCGGAGAACTCTCAGTTCAGGGGCCCAGGCTGACCCTGCTCTGGGGAGACCCACTGCTGGAGTCTGGATGTCTTCTGAACGTTTGCGAATTGTGCAACCCTTGGGCCTTGGACACTCACATTTCCGAATCCAGCCTCTACAGGTAATGCCACTCTCCTTCTAAGTTCAAACTCATCCCCACTGATCCTGGAAGACAAAAGAGAAGGGTTAGTGGGTTTTCCCCAGACACATCCAGTTGCCCCTAAATTCTTCCCGCCCCTTCATTCAGCAAGAGATCCCTCTACCAGGATAGACCGAGTCATCGTTTAGGAGGGTGCTGGCCCTTTAAGAAAAAGCTGAGCCTCCCAGCGTGGTGAGCGGAGCCTGGAAGAAGCGAGCTTTGGACGGAAAAGGCCTGTGTGGGGGTCCGTGGACACTTCAGCCACCGGGAGGGAGGCCAGGAAAAATTAAAGAAAGGAAAGATGGGACGAGGAAGTCTGCCTTGGCATCCCGTGCTCCCTGATACGCAAACGAGGCCCTGCATTATTCATGCGCGGAGTCTCAGAATGTGGGGCGTCTCTGCTCAGGAGAGGGGCCTGCTGGGGCGCGGCCGGGTTAGGGGCGCGGCCTTACCCTGCGGCCGGACGGTCGCGCGTGGCTGAGTCTCCGCGTAGCCGGCCGCGGGCTGACCCTGTGGGCTGAACGCTGCACCCTGACCTACGGCGGGGGTGAGGGGCCGGTGAGCTCCCGGGAGCCCGCGTCCCGGCTTCGACACCCCCGAGGGCCCCAAGCCCTCCCTCCCCACCGTCTCCCTGCACCTGTGCGGTTGGATTGATCGATCATCGGCTGCACGATGCGTCTCCGGGCGTTAATGAACCTGGGGGGCGGCCATGGAAACGGAGGGGGATGTAAGGGGGGAGCAGGAGGGAGGAAGAGAGAAACACGGAGAGAAGAGAGGGCCGGGCGTGGGGCGTCCTTCAGCACCGCGGACAGCGCCGGCCTCCCACCCGCGGCCGGCCCACGGCCCTCCCGGCCCTGCTGCCCACGCACCAGTTGTTGACTTGCAGGATGGTGAGCCCCGTGTCCTGCGCCAGCTGTTTCTTCTGCTCCTCCGAGGGGTACGGGTGCTGCGGCCACCAGCGAGAGTCACTCTGCCTGCCCGGCCGCCTCCTGATCCCCAAAGCCTGGCTCCAGGGATGGCGAGCCCAGGCTGGGGCAGGAGCCGGGGAGCCGGCGTGTCTGGGCGTCTCCGCTCTCGCTGGGCGGACGGAGGCGAGGCGGAGCCGAGCCGCGGGCTACGGCCTGTGCGGTGCCCCCGCCTCCTCCGGCAGTTAGAGGCTAATTGGCCAGCTCAGCTTAGGGAGGCTCCAGCAGGGAGCTCCACGGGCGTGTGGGAGGAGGCAAAGCCATGCCCGAGTCTCTGTCACGATCCCTGTGCGTGTCTCCCCTACCCCTGTGTCTTTCTCTGTGTCTCTCTCTCTCTCTCTCTCTCTCTCTCTCTCTCTCTCTCTCTCTCTCTCTCTCCCTGCCTCCCTCCCTCCCTCCCTCCCTCGCTTCTCTGTCTCCCTCCCTCTTTCTGTTTCTGCTTGTGTCTCTTTGCCTCTGTATCTCTCTCTCTGTGTCAGTGTTTCCCTATGTCTCTCTGATTCAGCCCCTCCCTGCCTCTGAGCTTCTGGTTTTCTCTCTGTCTCTGTTCTTCTGTGACTCCATCACTCCGTGCTCCTATCTTGCTCTGACTTGGGCCTTTCCCATATCTCTGTGTCACTCTGTTTCTTTCTGCCTCTCCCTGTCTCTACTTTTCCGTCTCTCTCCATGAGGCAGTGTGGTGCAGTGGTTAAGGCCAGACTGCCTGCGTTTGAACCCACTTCTGGCTGCGTGACTTTGGGCAAGTCCCATAACCTCTCTGTTCCTCAGTCTTCTCATCTGCAAAATGGAGACAGTAGCCCCTCCTTCACAGGGAAGGTTTGGATGGATGGTGGGTGGGGGGTGGATGATTGATGGGTGGTGAATAGATGGATGAGTGGGTGGGTTGTAAGTGAGTTAAGAGTCCTTAGTAGCACCTAGCACACAGATAATGCTCACTGACGTTTGCCCTTGTCATTCCCCACCTCCATGAGAGTCTTCCTCGATATTTCTCCCCTGCCTCAGTCTCACATTTCTGGGTTTCTCTTGGGGGCTCTGTCTCTGTGGACCATCCTCCATCTTTCTCTATGCCCACCCTGCACCTGGGGTGGCAGGGTTCTCACCGAGAGGTGTTGGAACAGCCAGGCTCTCATGATGTTGGTGGCCACCTTGGGGAAGATCCCCCTCTTCTTGTTCCGCCGCCGCTCCTGGTCCAACTCCTCATCCTCTCCCCCAGAGCTTGGAGAGGCCACGCTTGTGTCCAGTCCATCTCCTGAGGGGTACAGGCATGCTGTGTTTGTGGACAATGAACAGTGGGGGATCAGAGGGCCCCAGAACCCTCACCCAAGACATGGCCTCATATCCCAGCTGTCCTTGCCCCTTTGGAAGTCCTACTTGCAGTCTAACTTCAATCCTAAGACCCACTCCTGTGTTTCCTCTTTACCTCCCAAGCTTCTTACCTTGGTCACTGGAGTTGTCCCCACTGTGGGAGGCCAGGCCCACACTGGATGGACCTGGGGTCCCCAAACGTACAGACCCGCTGTCCTCGTGGTCTCTAATCCATGTATTATTCTAGAAAGCAAGAGTTGGAAGTTAGTACTAAGGCTTGGGACACAATATAGCACAGTGGCTAAGAGTACAGGCTCTGAAATGAGGACTCCTGGATGTGAAGCCTGTCCCTGTGTCTCTCTCCTGGCTGTGTGATCTGGGGCAAGTCACTTCACCTCTCTGTGCCTTAGTTTCCTCAACTGGAAAATGGAGGACACTAACAGTCCCCACCTTACAGAGCAAGGTAAAGATTCAATGAGTTAATTAACCTAAAGACGCAGAGCAATCGCCCAATAAAGATGAGCTTATGCAGGTCTGTGGCACCTTGTCTGAAATCCGTGGGGCCAGAGGTATTTCAGAATACAGGACTTTTCACATTTTATGCAGTAAATCAGCACGTACATTGTGTATGTCATAACCACTCCAGCAGGGTCTGGGGCATAACCTCGTCGTGAAACTCATTAACATTTCTGCAGCAAAATGCATGAATATTTAACTAAGTGGAATAAATAAAGACTATAAATAGTCTCTCATTATTTCAGGTCAGATTTTGCTGCCAAATGAGTTTGCACTAAACTCATGGGGAGAGAAAACCCACAAAACTTTAAGTTTTCAGAGACTCTGGGGTCTTAGAATTGCAGATAAGGGAGTCCAGGGACTGTATTTTCTTTTCCTAATCATTTTATTTAGACATTTTGCATTTGTGTTTGTAAGGAGATTATTTTTCCTTCTTTCGTTCCTTCTTTTCTTCCTTTGTATTTCATCTTATTTTATTTTATTTTTTTTCTAAAAGATGACTGATAAGGGGATTGTAACCCTTGACTTGGTGTTGTCAGTACCACGCTTTCCCAAGTGAGCTAACTGGCCATCCCTATATAGGGATCCGAACCCGTGGCCTTGTGTTATCAGCACCGCACTCTCCCATGTGAGCTAACCGGCCATCCCTATATGGGATCCGAACACGTGGCCTTGTGTTATCAGCACCACACTCTCCCATGTGAGCTAACTGGCCATCCCTATATGGGATCTGAACCCGTGGCCTTGTGTTATCAGCACCACACTCTCCCGAGTGAGCCACGGGCCAGCCCAGGGACTATATTTTCTTCCTCCAAACTCCAACGCATTTTGAGGAACTTGAGGTGTGT